TGGTTATACTGTATTTGATATGTGTACTGATTATTGTTTTGATTATACATATAGAATACAACACGGGGTATTCCGTATCGCCCGAGGTATCGGCCCGACCGCGGGTCGGATCGCCCGACGGCCGCAGGCCGGAGGGCGATCCGACTCGCGGGAGGGCCGGGACCGAGGGCGATGCGGAATACACCGTGTTGTATTTTATTTATATCATACCCACCCAAGAAAACGTGCCTTTCAATGCAAGATGAGCCAAAAGTTGGTGCCACTGAACCCTAAACTGCAACAACATCAATTCCAACGTCCGGATTCTGTAATTCGGAATTTTTCGAAAGGGACACACGCGGTTAGGGCGGAACGCGTTCGAATCGTTTTATGGAAGACAGGAAGCGTTCGATAACGGGTTCCGGACCGGGCCATACCGTAAAGTACGGCCCGGTCTGGAACCCGTTATCGAACGTTATCGCGGCCCGGGTATGATATAATAGTAAGTACATGTAGTAGAAATCGGCCTAAAAATGGTGGAGTCATTTGCAGGCTCAATAAATAGTAGAAATCGGCTTAAAATGGGGTTTAATCGGCACGAGGAGTTGGCCGACCAGAGACTCGAAGTAGAGGTTTGGGTTTTGTTGTTATATTAGGCTTTTTTATCGGGTTTTCCTTTTGCACTAGCATCTTTTATTTTTTATTTCTTTTTTTTTTGGGGGGGGGCATCAACGTAAAAAAGGTACCTGTGCAAAAAAGGCTTTAGCCCAATAAGAAAACACAAAATAGAAAACCCAATTAAATCCTATTTTAGGCCGATTTCTACTACTACTGCTAGTATTTATTCAGCCTGCTACTTTCGTACGGTTACTACTATGAAACAAGTGATTGTTACAAATACTCAGTAAGTTGAAGAGACAATCATACACGGTATACATGTATTTCTCTCACAATTTGCGGTACAAGTTCTACTGGCAGCAAACTAGTATGTACAAAATAAGTTAGACAACGAATGTGTACATTCTTTAGGCACCACAATCGCAAATTAAAAAAAAAAAAACTCTACTTCTGCTCGAATCCAACCACGTCAATCTCTTGCACACACTCCATGCAGAGGAAAGGAAGTATTTACATATTCTTGTCCTAATTTGCATACTCATTTACATAATCTTGTCCTAATTTGCATACCCTGCTGTAATCAACACGATAAATTCTCAACAAAATTATCAACACAACTGAGACCTGGGAATAAATCGTTATACATTATATCCCTCATCATTACTGCATAGAAATTAAATTTAAATACTAATAAAATCTACCAATTATAACTAATAAATGTAAACATAATTACATGTGCTAATGTAAAGTACCTTTGGTTGTCGATATAATTCACACATGCAGTTGGTTGTGCAATATACTATACATGGGATGCGTTGCATTCCTAAACATTGTTATTCCAAAATACTTTCTGGAATGTACTACGTTTTGGAATACACGACGTTGTGCATTCCATTTTGCAGTATTCCAAATCATGTTTTTGGAATGGAACACGTTTAGGAATACAACAGGGTGTCGATGAAAAATATGAAAGACAATATAAAATATCTATGGCTTGTCCCTATCCACTGAGATCATGCAATTTATGATAATTACAACATAATCTATAGAGGTAATATCATACAAACTGAGCTTCAGAAATATCAATGGACCACAAGAATGGCAGTCAGGCACAAAATGGTCAAAAGCACAAAATAATTCTCCCACCAAAACTGTTTAAGTAAGCACATTGTCTGCACATACATGTAAGTCATGAGAAATATTTGTCATGTAACTTTCAATGTCTGGTATCTTTAAAATGGCTGACTTGGAAGACCAACCCATATTTTTTTGCAACAGTTATTACAGTACTAAAAAGCACCGATACGAAAGGAGAAAAAAATTTCTTACGAAAAACTAGAACTGTAACTTTCCCCTCAATCAAATCTTGTTTGGCTAATTTGCATAATTTATGACCTACCTACTGTTAACAATAAAGCAAATGGCACAGAAAACATTTGTTTACAGAATGATTGACAACATGCAGAAATGAAGAATAAAAACTATACCCTTAGTTTGAAAGGTTAAATTCATTTTGTAGCTAACATTTACATGACTTTGAGAGTAATTTTTGGTCTAAAGCAGGCTTGAATATCAAACATACTTAATGTACATAATATATGCTTTTGTATATGACAGATGTGGCAATGAAAGGTGTATCTGTGTTACAGTCCATTGATGTGAATATGTAGTCACCTTGCAACACGTATTCAGCTATCTAATAAAGTATAACTGCAATGTCATGTACATGTAATGTATGGAAAAGTTGAAAAACAAACTACATTAAACTACAGCGCCTGTACATGTAGTTTGGATATTAGTGCAGTAAAGAATTGCCCAGTTGATGTAATGTTGAAAGTTAAAACATTTGTTCCAACGCAAGACCTTTCAACTAGTCACTCTTCAATAGACTCTTCTTCAATAGACTGACCCAGTGAGGCTTGTCATGTGGTAGACAATGTACCACCGTTGCGGTTAAGTGAAGGGTGATGGGCCCTGATGTAAATTTTAAGCATCTTTCACCCCTCTCAAAAAGTAGTCTTGTTTGGTGTACAATGTTCTTACTGGGTCAGTCTACTGAGGAAGACCAGAGTGATTGGTCGAAAGCTCTAGGTGAGAACATTTCTTTGTTTCTGTGTTGGAACTAAAGTTTGAACTTTAGACATATTGTACATGTAAAGTGGCTAAACAATTAAGGCATTGGCTTGAAGCTTTTTTACCGCAGTGCAGTAAATAGTTGCCCAGTTGACGTAATGAATGTCCACCTGATTGCTATGTAATCTAACGTTTTAGCAATACATCTTCAACGTGTATCATACAGAGCACTTGTTACGTGAATTTTCATAGATGTGTGTATCACACAGTTAGGCACAGCTTATAGATTTATACTGCAATTGTTCAGATCTGGTCTGTAGCTACATAACTAGCCGTGCTTTATATATATATAACATGTAAATGCAACACATTGTTACACCATCTTACTTTTGTCAAGTTAGGCAAAATGTACTTAGTAAGAATGCATTTTACAGGTGGAACAGAGATGGGCGTAATGTTTAAGATACTAGTATTTGAAGACAAGACAGAGAGCAACACAATGCCAATTGTCAATTGAATGCGCCTCAAAGCAGAAAACTTTCAAGAATAGCCAGCTGCGTGAATAATAATAATTGTATCTTTGAGTCAAGTTAGGCAAAAAGTACAGCAAGTTACTAGTATTCTAAGACATTGCAGTTGAGGCAGAGTTAGGCGTACTGTAATTTTGTTTTTAAACATGCCTGAAAGCAGATGGTACTATGTAGTTTGTTACTTAGCTTTGTTACTTTGTTACTATAACTGTTAACAACACCAAACTGAATTGTATCTTTGTTCTGTCAAGTTAGGTAAAATGTACAGCAAGCTGTCCTAGGACATTACAGTTCAGACAGAGTTAGGCATGTTGTAAGTTTTTTGACTGTTCCTCAAATTTGAGAGTAAAGAAGTTTGCTAAGAGTTGCTTGCACAAAATGAATGGTATCTTATTGTGGCATCATGACAGTTAGGCAAAATGTACAGCAAAGTTGTCTCTAGTACTACATTGTACATTACAGCTGGGACAATGAGTTAAGCCTGATGCAACTTGTTTAAAAGCACCCAATGCAGTATCAGTGAGTTAAGACTGGAAATACTATAACTAAGGCAATCTGGGCTTTTCTACGGGAATACGGATCGTAAAATTTGGCAAAAAAGAGAATAAAATGGGCCAAGGGAGTCCGGCCGCGGGGAGGTAGTTTCTTTCCCTCCGAAGTCCAGTCAAACCCCAAGGCGGCCAAACTCCCCCGGCAAATATTCTCCTATATATAGCCAGCATAGTTAGTCTGGTAGAGACGATAATATTAGCACATTTGCATCATTACTTCATACTTTGGTTGTTTGAAAACAGTGCAGAAACAAGCTACGCAAGGAGTCTTTTATTTCTTGCGACTTCCAATATATCTGCCCAGCTGGTAGCACGCAGATTTTCAGCGAGCTCTTTACCGCCTGACACAACATCAAACGGCCTAAGACGAACATTTTTTTCCGGTCCTGAATTTTTCCCCCATTAACCACAAGCAATATAGCATTGTGCGCAAGAAGACAACTTGGCTATCTTCTGTGACCGCAAACGACTTAAGCCTGGGTGCCAGACGCTGGCGTTCATGTATCAAAATGATCATGTACTTTTTGGCGTAACTTTGAAAATCCGGGTTTCAAGACCTGAAACTACATTGGGCGCTTTTAAACCTGCTCCCAAGGCAAAGGTACGTAGTTTGTTTTTTATCGTTGCTGGTCAGGCGGCCTATCTGTGCTGCGGTTCTCCCCACAGTGTGACTGTTCTGTCTGCACTGGTGGAGAGGAAAGCGTTCTCGGTGGGGTGCCATCTGCACTGGATTACCTTGTCCTTGTGTGTGGCTACTGTCGTCACCGGTAGCGTCTTTGTAAGATCACCTACGGAAAAACAAAAAAAAATTCAATTATTCTATTTAATTTCATTAATTCGACCAGTAGATCTCACTTAGTTCAGTGACATTAAAATGTGTACAACACATTGAAGGAAGTTCTTCACTTCCAAATTTCAGCAAGTCTTTAATTGAGATAATTTCATCAAAAGTGCTGTGTTGTTTATGTGCATTTACAATGTACCAGCTAAAGCTCCTGTCACGCATAGACAAATATGGTTGGGAGACGGGAGCAAGGTCGACTGTGGTTGGCTTGCATTTGGTGAGGTTGGCTACTGTTTGGCTGCGTCAGCCAAATGTTTCAAACTAATACAAAAATTTGGGTGTGGACGGGAGGTTCAGCCATGGTTGGCTGGTGAGTGGCGTTCAGGAATAGGTCAGCAGTGTTCAGGGTGTGCACAGGTTGGGGTGTCAAATTTGACTAAAATCTGACTCAAATTTGCTTTGATTCGTATAGAAAAGTGGGCGTGGCCTAAACCTAGTCATGCTACTCCTAAACGTCAGCCAACCTTGGTTGTTTGGTGGTTGGGGGAAGGTTCTCAATGTGTTACAGGCATCTTAGATGGAAAAAGAAAATGGTCAGCCATGTTGAAAATAGTCGTCAATGTAACAAGTACCTTGAAGGTCGATGATTTTAATGGAATGATCGTAGGACCCGGTGAGGAGGTGGTAGGCGTTGGGAGAGAAGCGCGTGGAGCGGACGTCGCTGGTGTGAGGTTTGAAGGCTTGGACCACGCGACCGCCGCTGATGTCGTACAACATACAGCTGTTGTCCTCGTGACCTGAGGCCAGGAGTCGGCCGCTCGGGTCCACACAGACTGACGCTACTGGGCTGACTGTAATTGAAGAAAACAAGACACATCACTAGAAAGCTTTAAACAACTCCTGCAATCAGTGACGCTGAAGAAGAGTGGTGGATGTCACTCGAAATGCCCAGAAATTATTCTCCATAATTTTATATAATTATCCAGTAGTAGAGAGAACTCCTGCAATTATATGTGCAATTAATGAGGACGCATAGACCAGGGCTTGAAATACTGGGTGCATGTGCACCCAAATTTGGAGCTGTGCACCCATTTTTTATCTGTGGGTGAACCAGTGCACCCAAATATTTTCCTAAGTTTATGTATGTAAAGATGTTAAATGTATAGTAGTATACAGCATATTCTTAATATCTACATGTAAGGGTAAAAATATAATAAAATCATTGTTATAGTACATTTGTTTACAAATGAAACATAATTAGTTTTTGCTGACATTTTACTTATATGGTGCACCCCAAAATTTTTGTTGTCCACCAGGCCTAGTTTTTTAGATTGGGTGCATCAGTGCACCTATTACTTAAAATGAATTTCGAGCCCTGCAGACAAAGAGTGTTCTGTAATGTTAGAGACAGGTCCCACCTCCAGGGCCCATGCCGGTGGTTGTACTGCTGATGATGGCCACACATCTGGGTGCTCGCAGGTCCCACAGACGGATGGTCTTGTCCTGGGCACCGGAGGCAAGCAGACACCCTCCCCACGCATACAGCGTCAACACATGGCCTGCGCAAGTAAGAAAACATGAAAAGCTATAAAAAAAGCTGCCTGGGAGCCAAGATGAGAATAGCTTGAGTGTGATGACGATGTGTGACTCAAATAATTGGTCTCCTTTGTGACTTGAATTGGACTAATACTAATATTAGTAATAGCACTGCTATTCAACACAATTGTTATGTATCACTATTACAAGCTCTTTCTAACAGAGAAGAGAATTTTAATAGTTTATTAGCAGAAGAATTGCTTAACTTCTTGTTTCACTTGACAAGTCTTTTCCTCCTAACATCTGCTTGGTTTTCATTGATATAATTCCGACATCTAGCACCCAAGCTTGGAATAAATGAATATTTGGCACAAAGCCGAGGGCCTAAAAAAAGTCCAATGAAAAGGTGTACAACTTTGCAAGAGAAATCTGCAGAATATTAATGATTTAGGTTCTGTACACAATCTGTAGTGCAATCAGAGATAACAGACAGAATTGCCCTGAGGAAGGTGACAGACAGTCACCGAAACGTCGGCTGAACAAAACACTTGGTTGTGTAAAAAGTGTCTCTTTATTCAGTGACTTACTAACCTCATGAAACTATTCACGGAAGAAAAGAACAGTTGTGAAGAGTACCTGTATGTCCAGCCAGGGCATGCAGCCCCTCCCCTTTTTCACAGTCAGTGGTGTAGATACAGCAGTCCCCGGCACCCCCGCTGATGAGAATGGGATAGCCCTGGTTCACATCTCTCATGAACACCAGGTCCCGGACTGTACCATCATGCATGGTCAGCTCCATATCAGGGCCTAAAAAATCAAAACAACTTTTAACAACTGTTTTCATGTGAACAAACATTGGACCTAGGAAAAAAACATGTTTCCTGTTTCAGTCATTCACTTAGCATCGGTAGATAGGGATTATCTTTTCTAGACTTTGGCAATCTGTAGTGATCCAACTTGTATAATACAGTTTTAATTAACAAAGTAAAAATTGCAAGAGGATACTTTCATTTTCAATTGTCAATGTTGGAAAACTGACTGTACAATGTTTCATCACTCAGGTGTCAGATCATGGAGCTAGAAAAGCCTGAAAAATCTATGTTCCTTGCAGGGGTCTACACACAAAAAAGGCAGGTTTTTCTAGGGTCGGTCGGGAAATAGGAAGCACACAATTTTTTCCTACGCCTTGTAGTGATTAGTACATGTAGCCTGGGTACATACCATCCTGGTTAGTTTATGTCTGCTCTGTTAGTTACTAAATGGGTAGTGACTGTTGGAGTAGGCATAAACTAACCAGGATGGTACCCAAGCTATTGTATATCCTATTAGGCCAAGGAAAAAAATGTTGTGTTTCCTGTTTCCCAACTGACCCGAGAAAAACCTGCTGACCCTAGACTTTTTTTGTGGATCCCTGCAAGGAACATGAATTTTTCAAGCCGAATGACCTTTTCTAGCTCCATGATCTGACACCTGAGTGAAGAAGTGTTGTACAATAGGTTTTCCAACATTGACATTGAAAATAAAAGTGTCCTCATGTAAGCTTTACCTGGTTAAACTGTATTGTATAAGTTGGATCACTAGAGATCGCCAAAGTCTAAAAAAAGAAGAAGAAGAAAAAAATAATCCCTACTTGCTGACCCTATATTTTTCAGGAATGAAGCAGGAAACACAACATTTTTTTCCCTGGGCGTTAGGAAAATGCCTTCGATGTTTGTGGCAAAAAAAATCAAAATGAAAAAATGGCTATGGAATCTAATAGTATGTATTTAAACAGAAGCATAATTATTATAGGAAATCAGTCTAGGTCATGGAACCTGGCAAGTGTCTTTCTTGAAAGATAAGATAATTCATGAAGATTTTGTACCTCATTTCATATAATGTCATTTCTAATAACCCAACATAAGATAGGGTAAGATTATATTAAGACAACATAAGATTGTTGAGCTAAAGGTGGATCCCGATCAAGTAGAAAAAATTTTTTGCTTACAAAAATTTATGATTTCATGATTCAAATTCTAACTGGCATCAAACATATTATGATCAGTTGAAATTTTTGCCTTTAAGCAGTTGAGAGAAATTATAATATTAATTTGTTGATTTCTGAATACATAGGCGTATATTGAGTGCTTACACCTTTTTAAAGCCTCCACCTAATTATTATTCAAACCAAACTCAGGTGATAGCATGCCTTGGGCCAGCTCATTCTCTGGGTTGTCAGGATCAGAAAGCTGTGGCCAATCTGAGAACAAAACATGCCAGGGTGAACTACTGACATTTTCTACACTACGCTGTGTTTCTGATGTGTAGCTTGGTATCCATCTATTTTAGCTCCATTCGCTTCCTGCCAGTACCATTCCCTGCACAGTAGCCTGGCACAGTGTTCTAGCCAGTCTGAATTTTTTTCCATCATCATTCTCAATTTTGTTTGGCGTAACAGCATATCAAGACTTAGTGGCACGACAATCCTAGGGGGACTGGAGGGCATGCTCCCTCTTAAAAATTTTGAAATCTTGACCACCTGAAACACAATTTCCTGCATTTTCAGGAGCAAATTTGGCTGGTAGTCTAAGCTTATTGACATCTTTCCCCATATCTTTACACATCGATTTTTGTCTGTCAAAGACAAAGATGATGGAATACGCAAAACGTTTGTCCGTCATAAGCAGCAAAATTCTGTCAAATGACGGAAACACGGATGCTGGCTAGAACATTGCTCTGGCCCCCAATAATACTGAGAAATGATTATAATTATGGGGATGGGGCCCTATTATTCTGCGTGGAAGTGACGGAGCAAACTGGAGCTAGAATAGTATGGATTCCAGGCCATGGCTTCTGGTGCAGGAGTTTGGAGCAGGCACTGAAAGACACGGGGACAGTTCCACTGAATCCTCAGACACGAATAAGGAGCTGTGTGTATGCAATATCCTCAGACACAAATAAGGAGCCATTTGTATGTAAGTTTAGAGCAATATCGGTATTAGAAGAAAGATTTTTTGTACACATACGTGTGTATGTGCAACACATTTTTGCTATCATACAAGACATCTCTTTGTGAATTAGGCTAGGCAAAGTAGGGAAATAATGAAAACAGATCTGTTGATTTACAGGTTTATGTATGAATATACATTCATGTTTAAGCTATGTTCTGGACAGAGACACCCGAAGACAAAGCTTTTGTAAGGGGTTGGAATAAAGAACAGAAACACGTCGAGGAAGGTAAGACATCCAGAAGATTTTCCAAAGAGATAAATATTTCAGACAAGTATTTCAGACAACTACTGTTGCCAGTACAGACTGATGAAAGATAGTGGATGCCAAGAAGAATTTAATATCTAGTTGGTTGATTTAAGTAATGTAAAAACAAAAATCAAAGAAAGATGCTTTTAATCATTTGACAGGACAAGGGATTGGAGTTTCAGTGCTATGGTAACTGACAACTTAAATTGGCTACTCTTCAATAGTTAGTTATCAAATTTAATTAAGCATTGCTTTTAGATTTCAGGATAAAAAATTGTATATTGCATATGATCAGGTTTTGCAGGTAATCAACATCAACTTTAACTTTTTTAGCCCTATGTTGTTGCCAATAATTTCCATCTTGTATACGGTTCTTGCCACTTTAAAATTGGCCAATGCCATATTGCAGAATGAAAAAGTTTAACTTTAAACGTATTAGGATACTCTGTCAATACTGATGTTGTGTGGTGTACACGATTAGGGTTTTAGGATTACATGTGGTCTTGTTGACCTGGGTTCCAAACACAGCTTGTTCTCTGTCTTTTTTCACTAAGGCCACACCAATTTAATTTCTTTGTTAATCGATTTTTTTCTAGAAAAAAATGGAGCAGGCGGGCAAAAAAAAATAGAAACAAAAACAGGCCTAGGCATCCTATTATGGCCCAAAAGGGTACGATAGGAGCCATGAAGTCAACACACCAGGCTGGTTCAAAATTTAAACAATGAATTTTGAACTTTTAATGATACCACTGCATTGAAAGATGGAATAACTGTAACAACGAGGAAGAAAAGAACTGTTTTCAACTGTTCAGGGCAAAATATGAGCATTTTGCAGTTGATTTTTTTGGTGCAAATCAGAAACAAAATGAAGGGGGCGAATCCGTTAACCAAGAAATTAAATTGGTGTGGCCTAATACCTATAAAAATATTATCAGCGTTTCAATTGGCAATGTCCGTTTACAATACAGAAACACGCACAAATATATATTGTCTGTTGGAACATTATACGCTAAAGTTACAACCAAATATTACAGCTGGAAACACACCCTGCACTGTTTCACAGTACTAACCTTCGGCATTACAGGTGTCGGCATTGAACTTGAGCACCTTCACACACTTGTCGTTCGACCCGGTAGCGATGAGATTCCCTGTGGGACTCCAGGCGATACAGTAGATGGACCCCTTGTGATGTCTGTTTCTCTTGTACAGGACGGTCGGCTGTTCTGGCTTCTGGTCTGGTCTGGAGATACAGGTACAAGACTTGGTCAATTTGGTTTACTTTTACCTCATATTATTTTTCAGTGTTCTAGACAGGATTTTTTCATAGCATAGGGGTCAGGTACAGAAGAGCAACTTTTGTGGACCAGGTGCAAATCATGCATTAAAAAATTGTGAAACTCATAACCCCCTGAGACACTATTTCTTGTTTAATGTGGAACAGATTTTGTGAAGTTAAGGTTTTCCCTTTGCTACATGACTTGTATAGCTTCATTCCAAAGTATTATTTTCATTTTTTGCAAGATTTATGAAGGTTCTCCCTCCCAAAACACTATGCTGGTTGAAACTTAGCATAGGAGTCAAAATTATAGCATAGCGGTCAAAATTATAGCATAGGGGTCAAAATCATAGCATAGGGGTCAAAATTATAGCATAGCGGTCAAAATTATAGCATAGGGGTCAAAATCATAGCATAGGGGTCAAAATTATAGCATAGGGGTCAAAATTATAGCATAGGGGTCAAAATCATAGCATAGGGGGCCACTATGCTAAAAAGGCCTGGGTAGAACACTGTTTTTTGTTTGTTTTTGGTGTGTGCGCATGTGTGTGTGTGTGTCTGTTACTATCATTTGTGGTCAGCATGACTTAAGAACAGTATGGATTTTGTAACCTCCAAGCAGATCCTAGGGTGGCAAAAAGACAGTATCGAATTGGCCAGGCAGTCATGATCTATTGGCCAAAGAGGGTCCATCTGGCCAATGGGCCATACATGAAAAGGTAAGGATCTTCCCCCATCAACCTTGGAGAGTAGGATTTTGATGATCCTGTAATTGGCAATGTCAGTAGGTCTTAGGAAGACAAAGGTCAAGGTCCAATGCTGGCCTCCTGGTAGCTGACCTAGGTACTGCAGCAAAACTTTTGTATCTTTAGTTCTGGACATGTGCTATGGTCTTGATTTTTTTGGTGGCAGATACATGTACATGTAGCTCCAGATATTTCATGGAGGTATGAGATCTTTGAATTCTTCTTTTCGTTGAATTTTCCACGTTTTGTGGAAGGACTGTGATCCAGATTGTCGGGTTTGAACCACTTACACTGTGATGGACCCCTACTTTTTTCAATAAATTAAAATGAAATAACATGCTCAAGCAAAACAAAAGCCAAGTAGTACTCATGTTTTACTGAGGTGAGAGAGGAAATCAGTACTAAAGTGCCTTTCCCAAGGGCACAGCATTTGAGGTTTGCCAGGTACTCGAACCCAGGACCTTCAAAAATGTAATACTAAACTAACTAATATGTTGTGCCATAACCACAAGCTGCTGTAACAAGTTCTCAGAATCATGGCCGACGTACCTTAGGTCAGTGACCCCAGGATATGAGCAGACGCGCAGGGTTTTGGAGTTAGATCCAATGGTGTAGAGGGCTCCGCTGGGGTGGAAGGCTACAGCACGGATAGCCTGCATGTCCTCCAGGGTCGTCACCGGGATGAAATGGTGACCCTTCGCTTTGGGATCCTGGGAACAAAAATAACATGATTGACATGAGTCAAACTACAGCATAACTTAGACACAGATCTAGATGAACATGTAATATTCTGCAATACAATCTAGTACATTGAAGGTCAGATTGGGATAAAATGGTGACAATTTAGGCTTTTGGTAACCTGGGAACAAGAACAACATGATTGACAGGTGAGTCAGACAATAGTATAACTCAGACACAGATCTATATGTCAAACATCTGGATCTACATATAATGTAATTCTGCAATACAATGTGGTACATTGAAGGTAATGTTGGGATGAAATGGTGATTGTTGGCTTTGGGAACCTGGGAACAAGAACAACATGATTGACAGGTGAGTCAGACAACATCATATCTCAGACACAGATCTAGATGAACATCTGGATAGAATTTGCAATTAGAACCATTAACAATTACATTGAAAGTCAGATTGGGATAAAATTGAAACCTTTCAGGCTTTGGGGTCCTGGGAACAACATGATTGACAGGTGAAGAGTCAGACAACAGTATAGCTCAGATGATCATCTAATACTACGTAGTTCATTCTGCAATATTACATTATGTACATTGAAGAAAAAAGTCATTCCGCCTTATATATAGAGTCTTTTCCTCCAAAAGAGTTACAGAATGACAGGTATGTTTACTTGTGTATTATTTACTATAAATGGTGTTCAGCACCAAGGACAGGCAGGTTAACATGTGTGTGGATGGTGTTCAGCACCAAGGACAGGCAGGTTAACATGTGAGTGGATGGTGTTCAGCACCAAGGACAGGCATGTTAACATGTGAGTGGATAGTGTTCAGCACCAAGGACAGGCATGTTAACATGTGAGTGGATGGTGTTCAGCACCAAGGACAGGCATGTTACCATGTGAGTGGATGGTGTTCAGCACCAAGAACAGGCATGTTACCATGTGAGTGGATGGTGTTCAGCACCAAGGACAGGCATGTTAACATGTGTGTGGATAGTGTTCAGCACCAAGGACAGGCATGTTAACATGTGTGTGGATAGTGTTCAGCACCAAGGACAGGCATGTTAACATGTGTGTGGATGGTGTTCAGCACCAAGGACAGGTATAGTCACATGAGTGTGTGGTGAATTGAACTTTGCTTCTTGCTTTGACCTGTTTTTGTCTTTCCCTCGGAAGGACAACCACCATTATAGTAGGAAAATAAAGTAAAGTTTATGTATCTACATCTGTTAGACAGGCTAAACTACTAGTCTGTGAGCAGTGCAGTATAAGCTAGGATATTAAACAGTGCCTTCATGCCTGAGTGTGTAATGAAGAAAAAGACATCCTGTATCCTATATGTTTAGGGAAAAGGAAAATATGGTATATAATATCCTATGTCACTTCAGGCTGGAAATTAGTCTTACATGTTTCTGTGGACACATGAATATCAAACATCTTTTTACAGGGCATTGGCTAGACTGAATGACCTTTGCTAGAGGAGGTGTATAAGGGCTATACATGTAGCTGAGGACTGAAGATTATGACCCAATTTACAGGTGGGCAAAAACCAAACTGTACTAAAACCATGCCCGTAGCCAGGATTTGGAATGGGGGGTTCTTTCCAGTGTTTGAAGGCGAAGGCACGAGCAACCCTCCAGACTAAATTTTTAGCCTAGGCGCGCATAGTGTTGCAAAATGAGAGAGACGGAGACTAAGGTAAACCTCTTTTATGTGAAGGCTTGATTTTCATTTTCCTGGCAGGCTTCCTTGTATGTAGTGATCATCAGTAACAACAAGTGATTTGGCAGCCAATAATACATGTAGGCGCACAGCGGATTCTCTGCCGGTCGCGCAGTGCGCGACCAGAGTAAAAAGTTTAGTCGCATTTCGTAATTTTTGGTCGCATATGGTCGCAGTCTGGAGGGTTGCGCGAGTTTCGTAGGGTCCCCCGGAAAATTTTGAAAAATGAACCTTCTAAAATGCCATTTCCTGCGTTTTGGAGAGGATTTCAAAGAAAGAATCAGAGATAACTTTTTATTCAATGACAAAGTAGGCAGTTTTTATACGATTCCAGCCCCACTGGTGATACGAATCAGTTCATCTAAAGAAAAATCTTGGACCTTTAGATAAAAAGTTCTTCCGAACCTCCCTGGCTACGGGCATGAAAACTGCTTGTGAGCATTCAGTAAGTCATATTTTTCCTATGCGTAAATCCACCTGCTTTGATTGACATGTAGGTGAAGAATGTACGTTAAGATTGTACGCTAGCCCTCGAGGTACGTAAATGTACGTTCTTGATTATATAAGTCAAAGCAGGCAAACTTACATGCAGGAAAAATTCAACGCACATGTATTCAGTTTTCTTACACTTGCGTGTTTATGATGTTTTTTTATTGCGGGTGTGATTATACCAGCCAAACACAATTAATACTGAAGTGGAAGCTCTTTGTTTTTGTGTAAGAAACATCTTTTGCATGAAATTTTACATTGAATTGAGTTCAAAAATCCAGTTTGGCTTTGGGTGCTTTAAAATCAATCTCTCAAAAAGTATGTTGAACACTTCCCCGCCACCAATGCAAGAATGTTCAGAATCTGGCATAGCAAGGACATTATACGGGAATGTCCTTGGGCATTGGAAATTGACTTAGAAGGAAATTTTCTTCCTCCACAATTGTCTGGTACACAGGATGTCAATTTCGTCATTAGACGCTTTTGCTGACGTTTTTAATATCCGGACACTGTCAGTGTCACTATCCATGCTGTTCAATATTAAACAGATATGGATTGATAAAAGGCATTTGATCACTTCTCTGATTGCACTTTGCCCATTCGCAGTTAGATGAAGAAGCTGTCATCTCAGCTTGTCTTGTGGCCATTCACTTAGCCTTTCTAAAAAGCAGATTGAAGATGATATTTGGTTGCCAGGCTTAAGGCTGTACAAGGACAACCCTTGGTCTTGGATACTGCAGCTGGACATAAGGTATCTTCAGTTGCTGTTCATTAATTTTGGATATTATATTTTGTGCCTGGGTATCAAAGAAGAAGGGTATCATGTATAGCCAGTATAACAGCTCTTCAGCATAACACACCTGTCCAGCTTTGCAAGCCAGTGTTCGAAATACCCGTCTGCAGTCTGCAATTTGCAGATAGGTTTTCAAGATTGCAGAAGGAAAAATCTTACAATCTGCAATTTTGCAGATTAAGGAAAACATAGGCTCCGAATTCAATAGTAATTTCAATTAGTAAAGTAGCGGCGCTGTGAATAGATTGAAAACCTGCGCCGCACAAACCTGCCAGCGTTTTCCAGCAGACTGTAATGGTCCCATATAAGGGAATTTGGGATCAAAGTTGAAAGATTCTGACAAGGCGACAAAAGGCGAAAATACGGGAAAATATTGTTGCAAAATGAGAGGGACGGAGACTAAGGTAAACTTCTTTTTATTTGAAGGTTGGATTTTCATTTTCCTGGCAGGCTTCCTTGTATGTAGTGATCATCAGTAACAACAAGTATGGATTTTGTTCCGGTCCAAAAAACCGGTC